CGGTATGATGATTGAGAAAAACGGTTGCCACCTGACAACAAGCGTATATCATAAACCAACTGATACAGGACTGCTCTTACATTACCAGAGCCATGTCGATCAGCGTTACAAAAGATCTCTGCTGAATACAATGCTGAACCGAGCTTACCGCCTGTCATCAACGAAAGAATCTTTTACGAAGGAATGCCAGCATCTCAAGCGGATGTTTACTAAGCTTAAGTACCCAGTGAAACTCATCAACTCAGCTATCGCCTGGTACACGAGTTCTACGATCCAAAGCCGTCACGAAACCCCAACTGAACTTGACGCGGCTACACAAAAACCTGTCAGAATAACTTTACCATTTAAAGACCAAAAATCGGCCGACACAGTAAGACATCAGCTGAAAGATCTTGGCCGGAAAATCGGAACTGACCTACAACCAGTTTTCACGAGTCGTAAGATCGAGGGAAAGCTCAAGATACAAGAAGAGAAGCCCGCTTTAATTAACCACCAATGCGTTGTTTACACTTTTAAATGTGATTCGTGCGATGCGGATTATATCGGTTATACCACACGCCATCTTCATCAACGCATAGAAGAACATAAAGCCTCTGTCATTGGCAAGCATCTGAAAGAAGCCCACAGTGTAGCGTCCACTAGCCTAGAGGAAATGTTTTCCGTTCTCAAGAAATGCCGCGGAAAAATGGACTGCCTAATTCACGAAATGCTATTCATTCGCGAACAAAAACCAAAGCTAAACACGCAGTCTGACTCAATACGTGCAAAAGTATTTATTTAAACATATACTGCACGATCTGACATGCTAAACACCAATAACAATGAACGCTCATTATTCTAATGAAGTTATCACATTTTATTTGTATATAATCTCTGAGCTACAATTTTACATCAGTTTTAACATTTTACTTGATAATGAGGTCATGCAGACTTCGAAACGTCGTAGTTTTTTACCGTTAATTTTTATTATCAAATGAAATAATATTGGCCAGAAAATAATATTGTTTAAGTAGCCTAGAGTTTTTGAGGATATTGGCAGGAAAAAGATTCCTTAGTCGCTAAACGGGATATCCCTGCGTTAAAGAAAGATTTCCGCGTGAAGAGCCTTAGAGATGCCGACAAATTGCTGTGTCCCGCTATGTACGAAGAAGGACAAGCGGGACAAGGAGACGGGTGAACAAATTTCTTTTTTCCGTTTTCCAGAGGAGGAAAACCTAAGAAAGCGATGGCTTCATGCTATAAGAAGAGACATCGGAGCGAGTTTTTCCTTAAATGGGGGAACTAGAGTTTGTTCCAGGAATTTCAGGAAAGAAGATTTGCAGAGAAGTCTTAGCGGAAAAGTTAGCCCCAGACCAGGAGCTGCGCCGAGTCAATTCGTATGGAAGCGAAGTTCGCCTCGTAAACGAGCACCACCGACACCACGCTTTAGGGCTACAACAGTGACAAAAACAAAAGCGCTAGAAGTTAGGGAGGCTGTGGATTCTTCCACCGAATGCAGCGAAATTATCAGTGAGCATGCTACGTATACATCAACAAATATGGGGACTTAACAGTGGAAATGGAAAACATAACACAGGAGCGTGAGGGCGGCACTGATTTTGTCGAGAAATCAGAAAAAGATTCATGGATAGCTGAGCTTAAGGACAAAGTTGCCGCAGCACTAGCGAATAATGAAGAACTGGATGAGGTGGTTTCAAAACTTAAAGAGAAAGTTGTGGATCTTGAGCGGAAATACGAGAAATGTGACGAGCGGTTGTTTTCCTTTAAAAACATCGCCTCAAATGACTCACTAGTAGCATTTTATACCGGCTTTCCAAACTACCAAACAATGATGGCCTTGTACAAATTTTTGGATCCAGGTGAACAGGGTGAGAACATCAACTATTGGCTGTCTGGAAAAGGTTTTGATAGCTCCCCAAAGTCTGTGAAAAAAAGAAGACCACGGATCTTAAAACAAGTGGACGAGTTTCTTCTCACTTTGTGTAGGTTGAAGCAAGGTTTGCTGAGTTGCATTCAGCCCAATTATTTAATATTTCTCAGCCAACTGTAGGTCGCATCTTTATCTCTCCTGGATAAACTTTTTGAATTTAAAACTTGGCCATATTAATGTCTGGCCATCCAGAGAACTAGTTAATGAGACAATGCCTGACAATTTCAAGGCAAAGTATCCTACTTCAAGGGTAATGATTGACTGTACAGAGATACGCTGTGAAATGCCTAGTAGCCTCCTTTTAAATAGTGAGCTCTTTAGTTCATATAAGAACCATACCACTTTAAAGGCATTAGTGGGGATTTCACCTAGGGGGGGTTTCACACTTATTGGGCAATCAATGTAAAATAGGGCTGACAGGCCTACACGACTCCCCAGCGCGTGTTTAGAGTAACCTATTCAAAGTTTGGCCCTAACGAGCTTGTCTTTGGGCGACCGTCCTCTTTTGTAAAATACGAGAGGCGGATTTTTGTATATTTCGTTCAGTAGTGGTTGTATTTCTATTAAATGCCAGTGTTTCATGAGAATTTGCTTTAGGTTTCGCACTGATGGTTGGTATTGTGTAACAAAAGGCAAGATTCGTTGGTTCGTCTTTTGTCTCTGTTGAAGAGCTAATCAGTCCTGTTTTTTAATTCACTTCTGAGAGGGTTGTCCCGAATGAGGTCCTCTGGGTAGCCTCTCTTTAGCAAATGCGCTTCATTTGTAATTTTCTCCTCGCATATTGTTTGAGAGGAGTTTGTTCTTAGAAGTCTAAGGGTCTCCCCTTTCATGAAGTCTTTTTTAATTCTTTGTGGGTGACAGGAACTATAGTGTGTATACTGAAATGCCTCAGTTTGTTTAAAATGAGTACATACATCAGGGATTGCGTCTTTTTCGAATCGTTCGCCTTTGTAGATGTACAACTATTTTTTTTTACTGTCTCGATCGTTAAGTTGTCTTGATTGCTTTCAGCTTGCGCCACGCGCGCTGATTCGATCGCAGTACAGTTCTTAGTGTTCAGTGTTCCAGCCGTTTTGGCTCGTTTTCGTTTATTTATTTCGGTCGCAAAACGACCGATTTTACGTTCATAGAAGCACATGATCACCTTTACTGTTTCTTGCTCCGCGTTGTTAAGGATTTGCTTTATCTCATTTTATAAATCCTCGTCTGCTCTTATTTTAGTTCTCGCCCTATATTATAGGGATTCTGGGCATGTTCTGCTAGGCATTTGGTACAGAGGGATTAGTTCGTTATCCTCAGACTTACCGAGTAGATCATCTTCAGTGGAGGTGTCATATGAGGCTTCCATGTTTTCTTCATTCTCTGAATGGCATTGTTTTGGCCCGGGGCGTTTAGTAGCCCATCTGCCGTTTTATTGTCTTCCGAAATTTTCAGTAGATGGTCAGGCAAGACCGCGGTTTCGATCCTAATCTTGTGGATCGCGTCAGTTGCCGATTAACTAAATAGACTGGTAGAGATTCGTTCTCGGTATATCGTATATAGGAATATAGTCTTCTGTGAGTATCACGCGCGCAGTTCCATTAGAAAATCTGTGAGACGCTATTGTGGTTTTGTTTTGATCTGTGAACCTTGGCCTACCAAGCCTCGCTTTCATGCATTCGAAACCAGGTCGTTTCCGCGCGGCGGCCATTTATGAAAAAGGTTTATACAGATGTAGACTCGGCCACAGTGAGACTTTTTGAGTAGAGTGGACTTGCCTTGAGTTTCTCCTATGTCAGTACGTTTGTCTACAGGGAATTTTAGTTTGATTACCCAGGAGGGTTTTGCATACTACATATTCAAGAATTGAAAGTTTCATTTCCACCAGTTACGAGTTGTGGAGCAAAGTATCATAAATGGTCCCCTGCAACCGAAAGGAAAGGAAAACATACTTTCTCCATATAAACCTTCTAAACGTGTAGTAAACGATTACAGTGTGGTGATCAGATTAACTGAAACTTCGTTACGAAGGCTCTACAAATTTGTAGACCATAAGGATTACGGTAACTGTTGTTATGGACCTGTTTCAGTAAAAGATACGTTTGGAGCAACGAATATAATAGTAATGATAAAGATAAAGATAATGATAATAGTAATAATGATAATAATAATAATAATAATATTATAATAATAACAATAATATAATAAT